TTTTTTTTTTGTCGTGCGTACAGTCAGTAATTTCATCAGTTTTTAGACTTCCAAATAAAAACAGTTTTTCATAAAGAATTTGGAATATACAAATATTGAACAGAGCTTTCCTTTTGTATAATTATAGATGTATTTGCAACAATTGAAATTGGATGAAAATTAAACCGAAGTTAAAGTTACTGGAGTACATATAATGTTATTTTTTCGGAATCAAGGAATTACTTTTCATTGAGTATCCAGAGAGCCTTTTTTACATCGTGCACGTTATTGCAATATTTAAAAGTAGCATGTGTACTGGACCATATGCAGTACGTAAGTCGTGTCACATGGTGTATGCAAACTAAAAGCAATATTTGTCAGTACTGACATGTGCAAGAATATCAAGGACCAATTATTAGGTCGACAATGTAATAAATAGGATGCACTTTCTCTCATGACGATATATTTCTAAGATCTTTCTGCAAAATAGCTATTTTTGTTTATTACAGTAGTATCGTAGAATATTTGGAGAATGGTAAAACAATTTCCACGAAGTTATACCAGAATCACATCAATCGCACTGACATTGAGAACGTGAACGTAATCATGAATTTTACGTAAAAACATTCTTCAGTTTGGATGTTACTTTGTTTATGCTGTTTTCAATACCGTGTAGTATGAAGCGCAAAGTTTCAGAACCTGAAATGTAGCAAATAATTGTACCGGGCAATTGTGTCGTAATTATTGACGATAAGACTAAAGATTAATGCGTTACTTGTGAAAAGCTTTCCATGTTTAATTCAATTAATCCACCGGCAGTTAAACGAGGTGGAGTTAAATTCCGCCGTAACGCTAACAGGTACAACATTTGCGTTTTTGGATGCGTGTTGTACCATAACGCTTCGTATCTGTAAATTTCACGATCGTTTTAAAATTATATTTCGCAAACATTCACTAAAATAAAGCAGACAGGGCTGAGTATCGCGATTGTATTTTCTTTGAAAAAAGTGAAAACTGAACTGAAGATTCGATAACCTAATATTCTTTTTATGGATGATAATGCGACATAAAATCCCAGAATAGTGATCGAAACGATTGTGACCCAATGAGAAACTAAATTAATTGAAACGCTTCAGGTAGCTTTGTCTAGAAAGAAATAATTCTAATTTTTCAATTGTTCGCATCGTTCGTTAAGCAAAACTTTGACAACTGCCAGGGAGGAAACGAAAATTTCCAATCATCACTTACATTGCATCGTACATTTCATCGAACGAATTTATGACGAATTGCCCCTGCATCGTTAGAAAGCACAGATGCAAGAATTGAGCAAGCAGGAAACCGGTAAACTTGTAAAAATCGAGACACACTTCCATCACGGCGATCTAATTTCGAACAATTAATAATGCACCGATGAATTACGTTCAACCACGTACAGAGTTGATTAAAAGAATCTTACCTGAACCATCGTAATACTAACGCACACGACTATTATGCCCATAGCAAAAAGAAGATACGTAACATGTGAATTCTCGATTTCTTCCAGAAATCTGTCTTACAATCAGGAAACAAAAAAAAAAAAAGAGAGAAAATATTCCCGATTAACAAACAAACTTGGGCAAAACAGAACGAAAAAGAGATGTGCTGGAAAAACTAATATCGCAAACAAAAAGAATGATAATCGATAAATTTTCAGGGAAAATTAATTTTTCTTGAAACGGAAGACAACAGTCGAATAAATATTCAAGAGATCTCTTGAAAAAAATGAGATCACTAACGAATATCGTATGTTTAATGAATGATTGAAATTAACAAAAATCTTTTTCATCATCGTTAGTAACGAGTAACTAGTATAGTACAATAAACAGTTTCATCGTCCAGAATGGACAACAATTTAATAATAAAGTAATCATCGGACTAAAGTGTGAATTGTTCCGTTGTAACTATGCTTTTAATTCGGATGAGTAATATACTGACGTTATAGCTCTTTGATGGCTCTGTATAGAGTACAATACACATTTATGTATTTCTTTTGCCTTGGTCTCAGAATGTTTTGCAGTAGAAGAATCCTTCTTGACCACGTTTTTGAAGCGATATCTAGAAACAGTGCAATTTCTTTCAAAGGAAGAAGAATTTGAAATATTTCCAACGATGTACTCATTTTTTTCAGTCGTTTACCCGGCCACGGTTAGCAGTCCACAACCATGTTGCACGAGGACCATGTAAAAAGTGTCACAAGAGATGAACACAGTGCCCACGACCAATACAATAAAGGCCACGTGCATTTGAATGTAATAGTAATAATCACGATCATCCTCGACGAAATAGTAACCTGGTATAGAGTATATCATTGGTGGCGACGTATTCTCTTGTTTTATCATGTGAAACAGCTGCGCCGTCCATGGCATTTGAATGAAAATTGTTACTATTATGCACGTGTTTACTGAAAGCGAATCGTTTGCTGTCGTTTGATTGTTATTCAAATTGAGATTGCAAAATGTATGTCGATCGACATACCGAAGTAGAATTTAGCCAGGAAGCTTCCTCTATTGGCGTACGCCGTCATGATCTCGAGTTCTCCTTTTGATCGATCGGTCGCCCAATCTTTGAACATGTCGTTCAAAAGTGACTTAAGCTGTAATGTTTGTTCGACTGTAAGTACGGAGAAAGTAATTGTCGTAATTGGCAAATAATTTCTTACCTTTGCCGCGTTCAGAACATAATTACCGTGTTTAATTATCATTAAAATCGTAGCGCCTATTAGAGATGACTGCTCTATCACGACGTCCAGCGTTCCTGTATGTATAATCCTTGCAGCCTGGAATCAAGGATTTAATATATTTTCCATCTTTAGTTTAGCCTGAGAATTTGAAATTCATCTGTAGCTTTGAACAAGGTTTGTACAATATATACTGGCTACTTCGATATTTCTCGTCGATCAAATTTGCATATTTTGCATTTCAGTCATTCTCACTTAGAATCGCGCAAATAATTTCCTTATTCCGTACATCGATGTATCGTGATGCCAATTAATAAACACGTACCTGCGTGATCACAGACGACACCAAAGAAATATCCACTATAGCCCACAGAATGACTTTCACAGATTTATTCTGACTCGGCCAAATCCCACCAAGTTTGGCGAATCTTTTCGTGATCTTTAAAAATCCTCTCTCCAGTGTTGCTCTATTCATGATACAAAGTGAACATGTGCCAAATGCAATTCTACATATATTATCTCTACTTAATAATCTATCTAATAACGTAAATGCACTTTTGAACGTACGTTGAAGTGAATGCACTTACGGTGAAGTGCTTCCACTTTCGGAAATTATTAGTAACAATAGGCCTCCACTAATGCAGCGATTGAATATTTAATCAATCAGCAATTGAGCAAAGGTATACCGAAGGATACATTGAAACGGACATTTCCACATGCTTAATATTGATCGTGGCATTATGTGGCAACTAAAGTGTTCCACTTTGCATATAAATACGTGATTGCACGAAATGGAGTCGTGCTACAAGTGAAAATGTAAATTCGTTTGATGTCTGGTGGTAGATTCGTTCGATCGTGCAAAAACCAGAAGTCAGTGTCGCGTGAAAAACTCCCGAGATGGTGAACATGCTGAACATTTCAAATATTTAATTCTCCACTATTCAGATGTGAATTACGCGTTCCACTAGTATTGGAATAATAACTTTATTTGTAAAGTTAGTTTTTGCAATATCACCATTCCAGACGGTGTGGATACTACATTGAATTTTATGTAAAAACGTTAACACAAATCACACTCGGTGTCTTCGTTTATGTCGGTCATAATACTGTGTAACGTGAAAAGCAGAGTTTCACCACCTCGAGCAAACACGCAACATTGTTCGTTTTGTTTACATCGTAATTACCGAAGGTAACACCATTGATACATTACTTCAGAGAAACGTTGCATGTCCAGTTGTATTAAACGTATAACAATTGGGTTTTTGGACGCGCGTTGTACCACAGTGACTCATATATCTACGAAATCCATTGAGATTTATAAATTTCACGTATCTTAGTCGTACAGACAACCACTCGAATGTAGTAGATTTGACCTTTCAAAGTGTGAGAGAAGCTAAAAAATATAATATTCTTTCCCTTAAATAGTAACTCAGTGTAATAATATCTACTTTGTCGAATGATTAAAGTTCATCGTCAATCACCGTGAAAAATTACTTCACTCTTACGGACTATTACTGTACGAACTTCAATTATTGTATTACGTTGTGTGAATGAATTCGTTTGTTTTTCAGGTGTTTGGGGATATTGAAAGTATGTAGTATAGAAAATTCGATGGATTCAACGTAGTAAATACAGGAACGTATAGTACAGATGAATGCTACTTATATATGCAAATAGAAAGAAGAGAAACACAAGAAATATGGAATGAGTAATAATATGAAATATAATATAGAATATTTAAACTACTAAAACGAATCATTTATTATCACAGAAAATATTGAACGAATATGATGAAATATCTATTGACATTGAATTGTCAATCATTTCAACGCAAACGAGATGTAATTATGTAACTCGAAGAACGTAGAAATACGTATATTATGTGGGCACAATTTTATATAATAATAACAAAAAGGAGAGACTTTCAAAGTTAAAGACTTGTAATATTAATTTCATCATTAATGGTGCAAACGAACTTAGCAAAATTTCACACAATTTCATTGATATACGGTGAAGTCGATCAAGATTTACCCGATTGAGTAACGATACTCATAATGCATACTCGTAATGCACTTTAATTAATTAATTAATTAATTAATTTCATAATGCTAATTTAACTATAATATTAATTTCTAACTGTAGGGAACATTCACTTTCAACTGAGACATAAATACTTATCTCGCGTATATTAATTTCATATTGTTCAACTCTGTTTTTGCAACTCTTTCTTTCAAACCTTTGGTAACTACTTCATGATCGTCACTATGAAATATCTGCTTATATTAGTCCAAATACGAATGTCTACTCTCTCTTGTGATTGAAATACTAAAGATAAAATGAAATCAGTCATACAATGAAATAATACATTTTCTATGTAACATTAGACGTTAACAACAACAACTAATTTATTTGAATGCAATGAACGATGTATACTAACATTATAAGTATAAATATATTTTATTACTACAAAGTGCAATAAAATTTTAATTTTGCATTATTTTCTTCTCAAGCTACTAAGAGCTAAACACCGTGTAATATGAAAAAGATGCTTTCAGAACCTGAAAGAAATTAATTGTTAATAAATCAGATTCGCGACCAGTTATTTTCGAGAGCGATAATCTCAGGTATTATGCAGAACTGGTAAATCAATCTGTACATAGCTGTATAAATTCAAAGAGACCAATCCTCCACATGTTAGTGCGGACGGATCTAAACATTTTCGCAGTACCAGCACGTATAACATTTGAAATTTGGGCGAACCATTGTACCACTTGGCCTCGTATCTGTACATCGAATTATATTGTGAATTTAGATCCACTTTAATATGTTACTGAAGCAATGAAATTCCTACAACTTATTTAGAAATTAGAACTTATTCAACGACAATGTTTACTAAATTGAAATCGAGGTATTTGTGATACTTTAAACTTTCTTTAGTTTTTTGAAAACTATTTCAATTTCACGAGAAAGAAAATAATACATCAATCCAATGGGCCACATTTTAAAGCTCTCTTTCTTTTATAACTCTATGTTCATTTATTTCAGATGTTTCCACATGATGTAACAAGTGCAAAAAATTGAGAATCACTGCGTTCTTGATAATTATACCAACTTAAACCTCTCTGAAGTAATTGGAAAAATTTTTTTCATGATTAGATCTTAAGATTAATGTCTTCCCTTTACAACGAGCTCCTTTTAAGTTTGTTGTACGTTGCTTTCTTGGCGCCATTTTATTGAACCTTTAATGTCAATGACGAAAAGTCAGGATTTTTCCATTCTTTTTTTTCGTTCAGTGCTCATATTAAAAAGAAATTATACAGCATGTTTTAAAAAGTCAATGTAAAGGACAGATTTCAATCTTCAAGATTACGTTGGATTCAGTCATGAAAATTATTTTTCTGCGTTTTTGGAAACCTTTGTATTTTTTTCCACATCAGTTTTGTTTTGAAAAATTCCATATAACAGGAACAGTTGTTCGATATTAATTGCACGATTTTTACATTTCGTTTAATGTTCAGTAAATTTAAAAAATTTTAATACATATTACTTAGTAATTAATTTATGTAATACTTGAATACATAAACCAATTACTAAATACATATTTTGACTAAACTAATTATAAAATAACAGAAAGCATAACAATAAAAATGTTGCGTATGAATATGACAATTCACGTATTCAAGAAACTTAAATCATATTACTCACCGATTATTGAATGGAAAAGTACGAAACAAAACTTGGCTCGTGTCAGAATCGTGAATCCTTCTGCCATCATTCTTGACGTTTAAGACCTCTGGGCAAATACACTTTACTGACACTGACACTGATTCTTACAAAAATAACTGAGCGAATGCTGTAACGACGTTTTGAACATAGAAAGTCGTTTATGTTGCAAGCACTTGATTCCTATTTCAATGCACAGAGTCAATAAATGAGACTAAGAGTGTACGCATTGATGCACGTTTACAAACTAATCAACAAATTAATGATTCGGGTATTATAGAAAAATAGATGTTAAAGAATTTTAATTTTTAAAAATTTCGGATATTTAGAAACATAAAACTTTATGAGCATACGATTCGACGTACACGCGCCGGAGGTTCACGCACTACTGACGCGTTAGCTGGACATGTGGAACAAACACGTAGCAAAGTAGCAAAGGTTTGTCAGTATGTTGGGAAACAGTTTCTTCGTTACACCAATCGAATAAATAAAACACATATTTTACATATACATATATTACAATAAATACAACAATCGAATCAATAATTGAATAATTCGCCTTCCCCCAAGCCAAAAGATTTTGTATTATTATTCTATTATTGTATATACTATCATTGTATATAATTTCTGTATTGTATATACTAATATTGTATATATTAATATTGTATATAATTTTGTATATAATTTTAATCTTGTATATAATTATATAATTATAATTATTGTATGTACTATTATTGTATATAATTTCTATTATTATTATTGTGTAACGAAAATCATATGAACTAACATCACCTGTCTTTATTTCGAAACAATTTTTTATTGAAGTTCCAATTATTACGAGTCTTGTAATAATATAAAAGTTGCAGCAAAAAACCGATTTTTGGATACGAACGACTGTTATAAATTATAGAAATATTTCAGACATTATCATCAATTATTGATACACACTCGCTGATGAAATAAAAATTATTCTTGTTATTTCATTACTGTCACTTTGACGTAAACAGACATTAAGCTCAATTTACCTAAAAATAAGCAACATTTGTTTCTATAGCATGTGAAAGTACGCCATATATTTGGGTAACACTAGTATTAATTAATACGGTTATTTTACATTGCCAATAGTAGCCAACGCTGATGTCGATCTGTTGTTCACGTTGATCTGAGTATTGTGTAATATGAAAAGCACAGTTTCGTTACCTGAAATATATAGATATTATTATTATTAGTGAATCTATCATAATTATTTAATATAACATCATTAGTTTGTTACTTCGGAAAAGCTCCGCATCTTCAGTTGTATTAATGCACTGGCAGTTAAACAGATTGGCGTTAGACTTCGTCGAAGTGCGAGTATGAATAATAGTTGCGTTTTGGTATTCGTATTGTACCATGATGCCTCGTATTTATGAAATTCATTAAAATTTCATGTAATTAATTCCTACGAGCAACTACGTAAATGAAGCAAAAAAAGAAAAAAGAAAATGGAAACATCACTCGATGTTCTACTTTAACCTCCAATAACTATCGTTGAATATTGACACGTGGCTTAATTTTAAGACTTTTATTGGTGGGAAATAAATTAATTAAATATTAAGTTAGTAATTCTCAAATAATTAACAATTAACTGAAACGTTTTATGTAATTTAGTAATAAGTAGCACGTGGTGCAGACGTGGTTGCAACTGGATGATTCAGATTGCACTTTAACATCACTATAACATTTTAGATTCCATGGCGTCTGTTATTTACAAAAACGACTTTCTAAGTCGAAGAAATGATAGCAAATGATATGAAATTGGAAAGTAGATCCGACAATGGGCATAATGAAAGAAACCAGAATCGCAGAATTAAAATTTCCAGGAAAAACGAAACTGTAACGTATCAAAACATTTGATTACGTTTATCAAATTCGTGGCAAAATTCTTTCCAGCGGTCAAGTAGTTTTTTTGAATTTGATCATTAATTAATTGATTATAATGAATTGCAATTATGACAAATTTTATTAATTTCCAATACAATGCTAATTTAATTATTATAGTAATTTATAACTGTAGAGCACGTCCAATTTCAACTGAAATATAAGTCGCTATTTCTCGTCTATTCATTTTATATCATCTATTCGTTTTCAAATTTGTTCTACTACTTTTGGTAATTGATTACTTGAAGATCGTCGAGATGAAGAGCTTATATTAATTGAGATAAGGATGTCTGCTTTCCATTGTGATTGAAATACTAAAGAATTTACTAAAATTTACTTTATTAAATAGTCTGAATTATTCATATTGTTCAAACGGAAAACGATTTCCACCACCAAATACTTCGAGAATTTCATTCTTATTACCTAAACACGAATATGACAATAGCATCGATTAATACTTCAGACATTTCGAGATTTCTTGGATTTCAAAAAGATAGGAAACGCAATAAGAGGCATTACAAAGAAATGTTATATTTTCCGTGTAACATCAGATGTAGCCACAACTAGCAGATGCGAATGAAATGAAAGAAGTATACTAGTCATAGTAAGCACTAATATGAGTTGTTTAAAGTACAACAAAGCTCGAAATTCGCAAATTACTTTCTGTTTAAAATACTAAGAGTTAAACACCGTGTAATATGAGAAAGATGCTTTCAGGACCTGAAAGGAATTAATCATTAATGAATCATGTAAATTGTCAATTATTTTCTAAAAACAATACTCTGTGGAATTGGAAAGCTAACCTGTACGAACGTGTATAAATTCAAAGGAATCAATCCGCCACCTGTTAGTACGGACGGTTTTAAACTTTTTCGCAGTACCAGCACGTATAACATTTGAGATTTAACCAAACCATTGTACCACTTGGCTTCGTATCTGCACATCGAATTATATTGTGAATTTAGATCGACACGAATGGACTGCGTTATCGAAGCAATGAAATTCCCACAACTTATTTA